GTTCCCTAGTTGGCACCGGTCGGAACGTGTCTTCTATAACTCTTTCTCCCTATGCGTAGTCCCGAACTCAAAGAAGACAGCTTTAGTGCACCAGATCCCTAAAAAATAACAAAAAATCGACTGCTCAGACCTAATCAACTTGTTCATAAAAAAATGAAAACCATTGTGAACTGCCAGCTCATGAGATTGAGGATCACCAACTGAAAAGTGACAGTCAGTACGATTTCCGTCAGGATTGCCCAGCTGGTGATCTTCTGGATTACCTGACACATAAATCGGCAGAGGCAGAGAGGGAGACCCTGGCCGTTAGTTTGGACATAGCGAAGGCCTTCGATCGGGTTTAGCAAAAAACGCTTTTTTCGAAGCTCCCTTCCTATGGGCTTCACGAGAATTTGTGCAACAAAGTCGTAGAAAAAGGTGCATGCTCCATTTACAAGCCTATTTACGCTGGTGTTCCACTAGGCTACGTTTTTTTTTTTTTATAGGAGAGGGGGCAAACGAGCATGCGGCTCACCTGATGGTAAGTGACTACCGCCGCCCATGAACAACTGCAACACCAGGGGAATCGCAGATGCGTTGCCGGCCTTTTAAAAAGGAGTACGCTCTTTTCTTGAAGTGCGTGCTATCACATACGGTATTTTTTCTGCTTATCAATAATATGTTACAAACAGTAACAATCAATCAATCAAATAACATATTATCAATAATATGTTACAAACGTGCACCGGCTGTGCCTATATGTCTCGGGAAAACGTCGCAGAGTACCGGAACAAACTTGTGTCTGAAGTCGAGTCTTTGCGGGATAAGGTCTCGGATTGGGGCGACTAAATCTAATTAAGTTCAATGCCCAGAAGACTCAAGTTTGCGCGTTTACCACTAAAAAGTACCCCTTGTCGTAACTCCTCAATTTCAGGGCACTCCCCTTGTTACCTCAGCCAGTTTTGGAATCTTCGGCGTTGACACATCGAATAATGTGCAGTTTTGTGGTCACTTGCAAGGGAAGGCTGAATTGGCCTTTAAAAAGCTTGGCGTGCTCAGCCGTGCGCTGTCCCGCTATTTTATGCCGGCACACTGCTTGTAACTTTACAAGGGGCAGGTTTGGCCTAAGATGGAATACTGTTCTCATCCCTGGGCCGAGCCTCCCTAGTACCAGCTTCTTCCACTTGACGGCATCCAGCGTAAAGCGGCTCGAATCGTCGACGACCGACGAAGACGAAAGACGAGATGAAGAAATGTTGCATCCCATTGCATTTTCGATCACATTTACCACGGGTCGTGTTCAGAGGAATTGTTCGGATTAATTCCAGCCACAAAATAAATCAACGCATTTCACAAATTCACATCTTCGGTCATCGGGATATTTGGCGGTCCATTACTGTCGGACCGATACAACTTAGGGAGCTTTAAGAAACGAGCTAACTCCTTTTTAAAAAGACGGCAACGCGCCTGCAATTCCCCTGGTGTTATATCTGATAAAAGGCGGTGGTCGACACTTGCCGTCATGTGAGCTGCATGTTCGTTTGTCCCTCCTTCCTCCCTTCTATATAAGAAAGATAATAAGTCGAAGTAGACAATTATCTTTAACAATGTTCTACTTATGTTCTGGAAGTGGGAGTAATTTTTATGATTTCATTTCGAGCCGTTCGCGGTCGGGGCCTAAAAAGTTAAAACTCGAAAATTCTTTGTACAACTAGGTTAGTACATAATTAGAAACGTGAAAAAATACAACAAAAAATAGCTACGCCACTGCTTATATTTACTCTTATTCTTTATTGATTTCTCAATCAGACAAAGAAAGAAATATGGAGCGCTGGTGATGCAAAAATCAAACCAAAACTAGGCTTAACTTATTACAAGAACACACACTCACGTATACATATGCATCTGAAACCATTTACAGCCCAGAACATGGATTTAAGGTGAATATTAGTGCGTGAACTTTTATGGTTTAATAAAAAAGAAGGAAGATAAATGTGTGCGTGAGTGCGCCAAGAACTTGAAATTTAAGTGCTTCGTCTATCTTTTCTTGTTGGTCTGAGATTGTTTATTCACTTTTAGGATATAATTTCAAAGTTTTAAGTTGACTGGCTCATTATTATTTGTAATATTAGTGTTTATGTTATATACTGTCTTAATATTTTCAATTATTTTATAATACTTAATTTTATCTACAATAATAAAAACTATGATAATAAAAAAAAAAAAACTAAAACTAGAAACTTAATTATCATATAGTCCGACTCCCCGCGGTATCGTGCCAAGAACGCTGGCTGCGTTTCCCCGCTGAATGGCTATACTTAGCCTTTGAGCGAGAAGAGAACCAGCCCTCTTATCACCAGCAGCAACGACCAGCCGCGGATGGAGCTCCTTTAGGAACTTCACCGCACGTGGACCCCACGGACCGATAGTCTCTACAGCAAATGGCACAAATATGTAGTCATCTCTCAGAGATTCATATTTGCGCCACTTACTCAGTTCAGCTGCCTCTGATGCCGCCCCGGCTCTAAACGAGGTACCCCTGATATGAGAGGCCGCCAGAGTGTCTACGCAAGTAGCATCCCACACTAGGGCTTTACCTCTCTCCCAAGGGACCAATTTCATACCGTCGGGTCTCTTGCCATCGTCTCTAAATATTCCCCAAGGCTCTAAAACCGAGGGAACATTTATAGAGGCAAGAGCCCTTCGGATGACATCGTTCAAAGAACTGTGTCGTGAAAATCTACCAGCGCTTTTCTTACATGAAAGTCCGTGGAGCCCAAACTTGTCGACGCTGCTACCACAGCACATATTAGTGTTGGTGTTTTTGAGATAAGTTTTTTTTTGTTTTATTTCATTATTTATATATAAACCAACTAGCTTTTGCACTCAACACGAAGGTAGTTATTTAGAAAAATTACACGCAACGTGTTGTTAAAAAACCTATGAGAGCATAAAGAGGTAATTACAGAATGACTCTTCAGATGTATCCCACATAAACCGTGCATTTTACGGGATAAAAAGACCCATGTCACTCTTCCGTCCATAAACTCTCTATGCAAAAAATCATGACAAACCGTTGCCACATCACTGCTAGAAAAAAGACAAACCAACAAACACACTTTATATATTAGTAGGGAATAATAATTGATTAAACTTGCGATACCATCCATACCATCTGGATGGTGGGCGGTCCACCACCGTGCGATTACCAGAAGTTTTTTCCTCACACAACTTCTTTGTTGAATCGACTGCTAGCAATTTTTCTAGACCAATACGACTTAGGGACGTTCAAGAAAAGAGCCAATTCTTTTTAAAAAAAGGCCGACATGAGTGACGGCAGTAACTAACCATCAGATGAGCCGCATGGGCTGAAGACGCACTTCTATATAAAGAAGTCAATTGAATAAGTCAGTTAATATAACCTATCTTATCAGAGAGGTACCTACAGGTATTCGCGTTAATACTGTCGGAAATGAAAATATAGACGGAATAGTTGAACATCGGCGTAACAATTATATAAACTTTAATACATACAATAAGGGATCTCAAAATCAACATTACACTAATTAAGCTTGGTAAACGTCAGTTCAATTTCACGCCCGCTGACTCGACAATGCTTTATAATTGCTATAAATATTAGATAAAGACATACTCTATGTGAGTTTCGTTAATGAGAACATACTGGTATAACTTTGAATGTGTGGACACTTCATTTTATTTTTTTAACTCTCATTAGTTTTAATGATATCATTGTTTGGAGAGGCCGGTGTCTTAAAATATATGTCACAGCAGCGTACAATTCAAACCAGGAACATTGACTGTCGTAAAATTAAGTCATAATTCACTGTAATTTGTAAATATAATAAAATTACTATAATAATTTTAGTTGGGTATTGAATTGATCTAAGTAACTTTGATTTAAGTACCTAATAATTGAAAAGTATAGAATTTATTTTTTTATAAAATAAGGGAAACAAACGAACACACAGTTCACCTGATGGTAAGTGGATGCTGTGAACCAAAGATATCTACATCTATCATCAATTAAGAATCAAAATGCAGATTCGTTGCCACCCCTGAGGACTAAGATGGAATGCCTCGTTTCCAGTAAAGAGGGCCTCCAGGCATTGAGCTGCAATTTTACGGTGGTATTCTGTGAGAACACGGTCGAGCCGACCTATTCGTGCTACAAACATAATTAAGAATTACATTAACGTGTTGTGACGGCTTAAGAAATTAAAATATTTGATAATTATACGTGGGACGGACATGCTGCAGCTATATTACTGGTATAGTTGTAGCACGAATCGGTCGACTCGACCGGGGAAAGACCACGCTCTCACAGAATACCAGCGTAAAATAGTAGCTTAACGCTGCTGTGTTTCGTATGGTGAGTGTAGAGAACCGGAGACCCTTTTTACTTGAACCGAGGCATTACATCTTAATCCTCACGGGTGACAACGCATCTACATTTTGATTCGTAATTGAGGATAGATGTAGATGTATAAAGGCCACAGCCAACCACTTACCATCAGGTGGACTGTGTGCTCGTTTGTCATCCTTATCCTATAAAAAAAAATAAAGAATTTACTATTTATTCGTAGTTAACAAACATCGCTAGTTTTGGCGGGAACTTAACTGCCGGCGGATTGTTGCTTCAGTTTTATCGTCTAAATAATGATTTTAATACGTAAAAGTGATGTGGTTTTCTGTATTAAGTATTTGTGCATATTATTGGAAATTACGAAACAAGTGCTATATTGATATAAACAATATAAACCTGAAGTTAATCGACTATTCGCTGGGTTAGGCTATCGTATAAATCTCTTATGAACTTCTCAATGTAAACGTGTCATCATATTGTGAAAAAGTGTTTTGAAAAAAATATTTTAAGGGATAATTTATTATTACTTAACAATGGCAAAATTAGAACCGTATGAGTCCATAACTAAAGCAAAAAAAAAAGAATACTCCAGCAATACCATTCCTTTAATTAAATTATAGTATAAAGTTTAAATTACCTCCTTATGCAACAGCCGTACGTGAAAGCTGACGACGTCGCTCACGGGCTCCCCAGCCTCCGTCACGTAGTAGACGAGCAGGGAGCTCACTGGCGCCATGTCAGCTGTCACCGGGAACCTGGGGGAATGGACAACGTTATATCTTTGTGACAGCTCTGCCTTGTTAAGATGATTAATGGAAAAATTCTGAGTTCATTGTTTAATTCAGAGAATGACAAAAATATTTTGTACACGGTAATATAATAACGAGTGGCCTAGTGGCCGAATTTCTACCATAATTCACTAAATCTTTAGGTTTGTATTTTTTGGCAACATTTTAATTTTTTTGGCGACAATCTCTACTTTGTGCGACTGTTTGACCACAGACTATTAAGTGTTTGACATTATACAGGGGGTAAAAAGTTTTCTCTTCACGTATTAATACATATAAATAAGTATTTAGGCTCGTGGCGAACGTGTAAAACGTGAAATGTGAACGTGAACGTAGTGCAACTTTCAGAGTGAATAATTGTATTAGTTCGAAATATATTAGGCCCTTTTTACTGTAAATGAGGCATTCCATCTTAGTCCTCACGGGTGACAACGCATCTACATTTTGATTTGTAATAGAGGATAGATGTAGATGTCTATGGGCCGCAGCAACCACTTACCATCAGGTGGACTGTGTGCTCGTTTGTCACCCTTATCCTATAAAAAAATTATCTTTGACGCTGTATTTTATCTTAAATTACGTGATCATGTTTGATGGTCACAAATTAAACGAATAGATGCCTTTGTCTTTGTTTAAATAATGAAGGTTTAGTATGCCAGCCTTCGGTAGTAATTTTTTGAGAATACTGCAGTGCGGAAAGTGTAAAATTACTTATGAATATGTCTTAAAAATATTGCAATATCGATTTATTGATTACAATATAAAACGTACGCAAATACTCAAATCGTCCTAAAGGAAAACTGGAAGTCTTGAAAAGATACTTCAAGTCAATCGGGGAATCCATCTTGGCTGGGAGATTATGATACATCTTATCCGCAGTAAAACCAGAATAACCGTCATAGCCCATAGAAAAGTAGCAATGGGCAGGCCAAGTAACTCAAAAAAACAACATGAAATTTTGTAAATGAGTATTGCTTGCTTCAACTTGAGAGATATGATAGTTTTTGTCCCGATAAGTGACCCTTAATATTTTAATTGCGAATTTAATGAATTAATCAGCTTATAAACAGTCCAAACAGCTGGTGGATTTATTACAACAAACTCTTTTTTAAAAGGAATAAACCGAAACAGTGTGCCAATAAAATTGTGTTAATTTCAACACAATAAATTAACGACGCTGCATTGTTCTTCTGTTTGATTCAAGTTTCAATTGCTGTATGCTCTCACACAGTTATTAAAAATCGGAAATTTGTATTACACTGTCACAGTTTACACCTAAGCGGTGATCGTTAATGATTTAGCCTTTCCAACATTACTCAGCAGTTACAAAAAAAAATTGTTTTCATGTGTTCTTTGGAATTTTAGTTTAAATGTATTCTTATACGTAGAATTAGATGCTTATTGGTGACGTTTATGTCAGCAATAATTTTTAAACTGTATCCTTGATTTATAGAACTGAGAGTGAATGAATATCATAACTACTATTTACCAGGTTGTAAAACTCCTAGCTTTTTGGTAAGCCACTCTCTTGCCTATAGATGCCGACAAATAACAGTGCTGGTACGAGTACTGTTGTTTTCCGAATAAAAGAGTATAATAGCAAGTTTAATTATGGGCTGTTAGGTATTCCATCTTAGTTTTCAAATGTGACAACATATCTGTAGCTTTCTTTATTTGAAGTTGGTCCATGGACTGCAGAAACCACTTACTTTCAGGTGAACTGTAATTTTGTTTGTCACTACAGTTTTATTTTTAAACAAAAAAAGAGATTTTTTATTTTGGTGATTATATATTGACTCTAAATAAAAGAGAAAAATATAATACATACGATTGTCTTGTAATGGGAAAACTCGCTAATGCTATACTGTTATTCAATGATCCACGAACCTTACGGCGAAGTTTATCCATTACGGGCAGGAGTTGAGCATAGCTGTCAGTTTAACTTAAATTACTTTTAAAGTTTAACTTTGAGCCAATCATAGTTTCCTTTATCACAATGTAAATGGTTTCGATTAGATGCTTTAGGAGTCGTAAGTAGCCCACCTAAGTAGGTGACGCATTTCTAAAAGGTAGCCTTTTAGAAATGCGTCACTGGTAGTGTTGAGAGATAAGCATTGATTTTGAGACGTCTTCAGACTAGGTATTTTACACTCGATTAATATGAGTTGTATACGGCTTTTCCCGTAGCAGTCTCTTCTAAAACCACCCACAAGACAATAATTGAACAATGCGTTATAATATTAGCCCCACTACACGATAAAAAATAAATAAATGAAAAAGTCAAAATAAAATCTTCGTTCAGATTTTATCTTCGTTCATTACAAAACTTAATTTATTTAAGTTGGTTTAACACCGAAGAGTAAGAGTCTAACGAAGACCTTTTTGAGTGGACCTTTTAAAATTAATCTTGTCCTTTAAGGCGTTAATACAAATGATCGTAATCTTATTTCGTAAGCTTATTTTGAGGTACATATAAATAAATAAACATTTGTATTTATTTTTTATTTTAACAATTTTAACACTATATTTTAAAGAGAAAACAGGAATTTACTTGGTAGTGCCACGCTGCAGCTATATTATGATTGTAGCACGAATGGATGAGCTTTACCGGGGTAGGACGACGCTCTTACAGAATACCAGCCTAAAATTTCAGCTTAATGTTACTGGGTTTCGTATGGTGAGTGTAGAGATCCGGAAACCCTTTTTACTGGAAATGAGTCATTCCATCTCCTTAGTGGTGACAACGCATCTGTATTTTAAATCTTAATAGAGGATAAATAGAGATGTCAATGGGCCATAGCGTCCACTTACGATCAGGTGGACTGTGTGCTCGTTTCTCACCACTATTCTATAAAAAAAGGAACTGCCAATAGTACAAGGTGTAGTTTATAAAAGTCTTATTTTAATTTATTTAGGTCCTTATTTATATAAGTTACTCCATTGTGAACCATAAGTGGTATAATGACGATAATAATTTGGATAGGGGTGTTAATTTGTTACACGGGTTCGGCCTGCGCTTATAAATATTAAGTTTATTTGGTGGCCTTACAACAAGTGTAGGATGTATAATGTGAAACGTAGTACCGCTTGTCATTTAGATTGATAATTGAAAGAAAGATACGTTTATAGCACAAAGAGGCCACCAAAACAATATAATTAACAGCAGACACGATTTTGAAGTTCAAGAATTGGTAAGTATATGCTCGTAAAAACAATGCGGATACATGAAATGCTCAAGTAATTCTTAACCGAATGGATTTTCAAATTAGAGATGAAATAATTATAATTTAATTTCCAGAAAAAATCGTTGACTTTGGAGTTTTTTAAGCGATATCCATGTTTTTTTTAAAAATAGAATAAAGGTGACAAACGAGCACACTCAATCTGCTGTGGCCCATAGACATCTACATTTATCCTAGATTAAGGATCAAAATGAAGATGCGTTGTATTTTTATTTCATTCCTTTATTTCCTGATAATAATCAAAAACGTTTCAAATAAAATACGAGTAACTTTTTGTCGACCGATGTCGCACGTTTAGTTCGTGCTGGACAGATGCATGCGCGGAGAAGGAAGGGCTAAAAGATTTTTAAACTATGAAAGCCTCGCCTTAATGCTGCAGTCGAAGCTACTGCGCTATTTTCAATATCCTCGAGTTGAGTGCGATATAGAGACGTCCACATGTGACTATAGATGAGAGCAGCGAATGTTCAAAGAAGTTTAACATATTTAATAATATGATATACTTCTTTGAGTATTATTAGGACTAAATGGAACACAATTCTTACAGTCACGCTAGAATTGCAAATCGGGTGTGGAATTAAGTTTCGTTTCTAATTACAGAATAACGTCTGTATAATCTAACTATAAACCGATTAAAAATAAAGTTATTAACAAAAATTATATTATATGAATCTGCCTTCGATATTGGATATTAATTTGTCGGGAGTCATATTATGTTACAACATAAGTATGTTAGTTTCCTGGGCGCAGGCTTTTTATTTCTAAAAACGACGACCACCTTTGGGTACCTACAAGTATTTGTTACAGTTGGTATTTGAACATAGGACTCGCATTTCGTAAAGTCTGGTATTGTCATCACGACGCTATCCAATCTTTATTCAGAATGTGTGCATCTAAAACTTATAAAACACTGACTCTATTAATTATTCTGGATATAAGCCTGATTTTAAAGATAATTCTGGTTGTACAGACTGTCGAAGCTGATTGATATTGAAATTCTCAAAGAGATATAAAGTTGAAAGCATAATTATTACTTAGTGTAAGTGAACTTCAGCTCAGCATCAAGGTGTAATTGGCTATAAAGGAACTATAATTGGCCTAGACTTAAACTTTAGAACTTATTTAAGTTAAACAAATGACTGTTCTTTCGAGTACGATCAGTAACAAGGAAACTTTTGCTTAAACTTAACGCACCATTGAATAGCAAAACTTAGTACTTATATAAATTTCCTATTTTTAATAATATTGTAGTGGCAAAGGAGTCAACATTATGAACAACCAACTCCAAGCAAAGAAAGTAAAAGATGAGTAATCACTCCTGAAATTTAAGATATAATGCTTTACTACACGTAATTATACTCGATTCCTTTTTTATATAATAAGGGTGGCAAACAACTACACAGTCTACTTGTAGATAAGTGGAAACTGTGGTCTATTAACATCTACATCTATTCTCGATTAAGAATTAAAATACAGATGCTTTGCCACCCCTGAGGACTAGAGCTAGGTTGTCTACACTCACACTGTTATTTTGTGCCGATAAGAGCTTTGTCCGATCTATTTCTGCTACAACCATAATAAAGTTGCAGCGTGGTTCTACCAGGTATAAAACTTACTATATATATATATCCTCTATTAGAAAATGGCAAATATGAGACTCCTGCTTAGTGCAGATATTTTTGTCTTACCTATTACTAACACCATTTTAGATGAACTATTTGGCTG